AACAAAACAAAACAAAACAAAACAAAACAAAACAAAACAAAACAAAACAGAATTGCAGGGTTAATAGAAGTTAAATTACAAAAAACTTCATATTCTAAGACTGAAGTTAACAGCAAAATTTATTACTATGTAAATTTAAAAGGCTAGTAATCATCCACAAATATAGCTTAACAAATTGTTTTTAAGCAGCAATAACATAAATCAACATAAGAAAAACATTTAAAAAATAGAAACAGAAGTTTCAACACATTATATGAAGGGGCTAAGAGAAACCTACACACACAAAACCAGCCCTCTAAAGAACCCCAAAATCTACTTTTGAGGCATTTATCTTCTCTCTTAGTAGCAATAATTAGAAGATAAAATTTGTTGTGTCTTTTTTCTTCACTATCTCCAGTAATGGCTATAAGCAAGCTAAAATTTGTTATAAAGGGTAACCATCCAAATACAAAACAAGTCACAGATCAGAAAAGGGAGAAAAAAAATCCCTTTTTACCTTCAGAAAAATGAAGACAAGAAAAAGAAACCAAACCATGAGAAATACAAATAAATAATCTGATACAAGGTATTGAGGACACGGAAAAAATGTTGTATAGACATTTGTGAATTATATGATTCAACTTCACAGTGTTTAATATAGAAAAATGAATATTTCAGTAAAAATCAATCTAGTCCAACAGCTTGCCTTTTTTTTTTTTTTTTTTTAAGAAGTAATGTGGCAGACTACAGAGGTCTAGGACATCTGTATAAAACGCAGGACACTTTTTACTTCTTTAATCATGGGAAAGAATATAGAACATGAAAAGTTTACCATTTGCAAAATGATTTATTGATTATGCTTATAGAGACTAAAAAGTATTTGTACATTACACAAATTTTAAAAATGCAGAGAGGGCAAACGTATTTAAACATAAGTTTTGAAGGAAGAAAAGGAAGTGATGTGATAGTGAACTGATGCTTGGGAACTAACATTATATATGAGAAAAAATTACCAGCCCTGTAAAAGGGAAGAGAATATTTACTGAGCAACTGGTATGGCCAGACACTAAGCTTAGACACCTTATATCACATTACATCTAGGTAGAAAAACAATGTAAAAGAAAATGCTTGAATACATAACACACCATTATGTGTTGTGTGTGGCATATATTAAAATCTAAGAGATTGGCTAGGTGTAGTGGCTCCTGCCTATATTCCCAGCACTTTGGGAGGCCAGGGCAGGCAGATCACTTGAGGCCAGGAGTTCGAGACCAGCCTGGGCACCAACACAGTGAGACCCCATCTCTACAGAAAATTTAAAAATTAGCCAGGTACGGTGGTGTGCGCCTTTAGTCCCAACTACTTACGAGACTGAGGTGGAAAGATTGAGCCTGAGCCTGAAAAGGAGCTGTGATTGTGCCACTGCACTCCAGCCTGGGCAACAAAGAGAGACCTGTCTCAAAAAAAAAAAAAAAGAAGAAGAAAAAGAAGAAAGAAACAAAAAGTCCACTCTTTTGAGAATATTATTTATGTTTATAATATTATTATAATTTACAACTCTAAAAATGAAAGCAAGAAACCCTCTCCTCAAAGCAGATTTTGGAGTGTTGGTTTTACGCATTACTTTAAGAATAGTGATGCTCATCTGAGAAATAAAGTCATGGGCTTATTAATAAGGTTGAATTATTATCATATAGTTCCTGTAAGTAAAATTATTTTTTGTCTTGGTGCTTAACAGTAATAACACAAAATTGACTTACTGTACTACTAAAATTCCCACCCAGATGGCTGAGAATCACACTGAGATTATAGTAAAAAACAGCCTTCAGCCATTCAAAAGTGGGCAAAGGATATGAACAGACACTTTGCAAAAGAAAACATTTATAAGGCCAACAAACATGAAAAAATGCTCATCATCACTGGTCATTAGAGAAATGCAAATCAAAACCACACTGAGATACCATCTCATGCCAGTTAGAACGGCGATCACTAAAAAATCTGGTGACAACAGATGCTGGAGAGGATGTGGAGAAACAGGAACACTTTTACACAGTTGGTGGGAGTGTAAATTAGTTCAACCACTGTGGAAGATAGTGTGGCGATTCCCCAAGGACCTAGAAATAGAAATTCCACTTGACCTAGCAACCCATTACTGGTTATATATCCAAAGGATTATAAATTGTTCTATTATAAAGACACATGCACATTTATGTTCATTACAGCACTGTTTACAACAGCAAAGACCTGGAACCAATCCAAATGCCCATCGATGACAGACTGGACAAGGAAAATGTGGCACATATACACCATGGGTACTACACAGCCATAAAAACTATGAGTTTGTGTCCTTTGTAGGGACATGGATGAATCTGGAAACCATCATTCTCAGCAAACTGACACAAGAACAGAAAATCAAACACCGCATGTTCTCACTCATAGGCAGGTGTTGAACAATGAGAACACATGGACACAGGAAGGGGGGCAACACACACTGGGGTCTGTTGGTGGAGGGGAATAGGGGAGGGACAGCAGGGGGAAGGGAGGTTGGAGAGGGATAACATGGGGAGAAATGCCAGATGTAGGTGACGGGGAGATGGAGGCAGCAAACCACCTTGCCATGTAGGTACCCATGTAACAATCATGCGTGTTCTGCACATGTACCCCAGAACCTGATGTGCAATAAAATATATATATATATATATATATATATATATATATATAAAACAAAAAACAAAACAAAACAAACAAAAAAACTAGCCTTCATTTAGTCCCAAAAGGGGCAGCCCTGCTCATTCATTAGCTGTGGATCTTGAGCATATGCCTCTAGTTCCTCTACACCTCAATTTCCTCATCTGTAAAACAAGACAGCTGGACTAAAGGATGGTTCTCTTCCTTCTTCCTTTTCTCCCTCTTTCTGGTCCTTTCCACTTTATGGCTTGGTGATTTGGGTTCTAGACTGGGGTTTTGAGGACAGAGAGGAAACACTAGCAGAAACCCACTAAACTTTGTAGAAAAGAAATAAGGATTATGTAAACAACTAGAATATGGAGAAAAAGAGAAAGCCAAACACATTTACAAAAATAAATGGACAAATAAAGAGGCATAATGGCTCAGTTCAGAAGATTATGAGCTTTACTATCAAAATTAGCTTAAACAGAAGTTTCAGTTACTTTGAAATTAGGAAAGATAGGGAGAAATGCTGGAGATACAGACTTAGAAATGATCTGTAACATATAAGCCTCAACAACCCAAGAATCTTCCCAAGTTCCCTCAGTATATATGGAAGAGATGCCAGACTCCTTGGCTTAATCATTCATGACTCTGTCTCGACAAATTCATCCACTATTCTCCAGCAGGCTATCCCTCTGGCCAATTTGGTTTCATCATTTCAAACAAACCTAGAGTATCTCCCCTTCATTATTACTCAATGTTGTATCTGAAATGCATTCTCCCTTCTCTTAACTTATTAATAATATGTTATCATATTGTTAGAACAATGTTTGAGGAACCATTCTAAGTGTTTTACATGTATTAATTCATTTAATTCTCTCAACAATCCTAGGAGAGAGGTCAAATCACATGCTTAAGATGACACAGCAGCAGAACTGGGATTCAAACACAAGCAGTCTGGCTCCAAAGAGACTGTCAACTTGCTAATTAGTCCTTCAAAGCTCAGATCAAGTTTTGTCACCTTCCTGAAGTTCTCATTTGCTTAAGCAATTATTCCTGCCTCTTGAGCCCTTAAGTCAACCACTCATTTGCCACTTACCATTGGATATAGGTTGTTATTCATCTTTTGTGCATATGTTCTATCTTTTCTGAGAGCAGGATCATGTCCTATTCATTTTGTTAACACAACTTAGAACCTAGCAGAACTTAATAAATATCTGGAACACAGCAGTACTTATTAATGAAA